TTTCGCCAAATTTCTTCCCTTTAAGTGGATATACTGTATGATGATTTTGCTATTTGGAAACATGCTGAAAACATTAATTTAATCAGTCTCATTCTTCCCTCTCTGGGATGTCACCAAAAACTATCTATGAATGAAAACTTCACTGCGGTTATTAAATCAGCTGACCCACATTTAGCATGAGATCTGTCAATTGGTGAATTTCTCGCCATATTTATCATTTATAGAGTTGTGATATGATCAGCTTTTCCTGACCAAAGAGAGGAACTCGACTGCTATCTGGCACTGATAAGGATCTTAATCTTAGATATGAAAAAAGACATTTTTTTTAGCAGTACCATAAAGCCTCCATCTGTAAGTCAGCTTTATCAATCCAGCAATCTAGCATTCCTTCGAACAGGTCGATTCTGAACATGGAAGCACTGCGTTTGATTACAGGAGGTCACAAGCTGTTGCCTGTTGGATCTGTGGGAATCTGGGTCATTCTGATCCCCTCTGCCCTCAGTTACCATTCCAGCCTCAAGTAGTAGTAGTCGTAGTAGTAGTAGTAGGAGTAGGTTTGTATTAGTGCCTCGCAGTCATTTACAGACTGAAATCACACACCAATATATATTCAAGAAATATCTCAAACTACAAAAAAAAAACATTTACAGTATGCGAAAAAGTTATTACAATAATCGGTAATAACTACTATAAAATTTAAAAGGGAGTTCAACCAGATCCACTGCTAATCCAATACAGTGGATATTTATATATCCTGGGGTGCTTTAAAAAATAAATAAATAAAAAACCTAAAATGAATGGTTATTCATCAATCTTATATAATAAGGAATAGAAGAATTGTAACAACATCTTGTTCTTGCCTGTGGGATATCAAGTTTATGACCATTGAATGTGGTACGTCCAGATATTTGCTCCCTAGATAGAGGGAATCAATCAAAGAGAAGGGAAGACTGCAGTGAAAATGCAAATTTCAGACGAATTTGCTCCCTCCTCTGCTCAAGACTGGAAATGCCATGGGTGCGTAGAGCTTCCTGGTAGCTGGTGTGAGTTGCTCCCAGGATAATGCAACATGCCCTGTTTTGCATGCGCCCCAGCTGGGTGGTTAAGGCTTGGGTGAGATCAGGATGACAAGCAGGGACTGCATACTCCAGCACTGGTGTAATATATTCAATATAAATGGCTCGTAGGCCAGCATGAGTGATGGCAAAACGCTTAATGCGCTTGAGGAGGAAAAGCTTCTTGCTCGTGTTTGCCGTCATGGCATTTAGCTGGCCATCCCACCAAAGATTTTGCTGGATGTAAAGTCCCAGGACTTTGATTATGGGCAAGACTGTCAGAGGGGTGTTTTTAATGAAAAGAGGTGGCACAAGAGGTGGGTTTTTACTGAAAGATATGTGCATGGCTACACATTTCTTTTCATTAAGAAGCATGTTATTTTGGGCAGACCAAATGCTTAGTTCATAGAGCTGATTTTGTATGGAAGAGGCCTGTTGCCATTGCTTGGCCTCCAATAAACTAATGTCATCCTCATTCCAAATTAGGTATGGGGCACCAAGGGCAGCATCATCAATGAGAGAAAGGAAGAGGATGGGTCTACGGAGGGTAATTCTTGCAAGCTGGGAGGTTAAAGAAATGAGTCTTAACTGCTCTAACACTGCAGGGGAAGTTTTAGGGATAGGGATAACCACTGCCTCCTTCCTCTGTTTAGGGACTCAGCCCTCCATAAAAGGAGGAATTTATGAAATGAAAAGGATGAACACTGATTTCACAAGCAAAATACTTCAAGATTTTCTGGGAAATTAAATCGGGGCCAGTTGTGTTTGTAAACATCCCACTCTGGGATGATGGGCAACTGATTTGGAGAGGGGAGAAAAGATGGTAACTGAGTGGTATCAAGTGCTGGCAATACACATGATATCTCAGCCAAACGTGTTTATAATATTTGCAATTTCCTCAGCGCCCTCAGTAACAGATCCAGGTACTCCAATTACACACTCAGCTCTCTTCAAATTAGCCATGGCCATAACCTCTTTATGCCATTGTCTGGGGTTAGCCGACTTAAGTTGTCTGAGTAGTAGGTCTTTCTAGCAAAGGCAAGGGCTCGCTGCATTTTGTTTCTGTAGTGTTTCCACAATTTGATGTTTTGGTTAAAAAGGGCCTTTTGTCTCAATCCAATCAAGCGCTCAATGGCAGGTGAAACCCAAGGTTTGTCAGTTGGGTGGACTCTCACCACTTTCAGAGGAAAAAACAGATGCAATTCACCGGTAAGTGTTTGGTAGAAAGCATCAGCCTTGGTGATTGCTTCCTTGGCTTCATTTACTTCACTCCAAGAATGTGAAGTGGCCCATTTACCAAAGGCAAATATGTCACTTTCTCTAAGGGGTCTGATCAGTTTCTTCCTCACTTTGTCTTTAGACGATGCAGCTTTGGGGGTCCACAGAACATAATTATGATCACTATCCTATTGGAGGGAGAATGAAGGGGCACATATAGTAATTGGCGATGGCGAGGCCCCAAGGCCTCCTTTACTATTCCACACCTACTATCCTCAGCCCAAGACTGATGTCCGTGGCCAAAAGGTGGAGTTTTTCAACCGCATGACAATTTGTAATTATTTGAACAAAAGTGTTTGCACTTACCCAAATTGCCTTTTTCTTCATATTTGCAACGTTTGCATAGATGCGCACCCAAGATCAGTCTGCCCTCGCCAGGTAATTCCCCCTTGAAGAGTGCAACCATGCCAAGAAAAGCAGCGGACTCTCAAATATCTTAAAGCAATGCCCTTCAATCCCCATTGATGTCCAGGCCCTAGCAGCGGAGCTGTCAGCTCATCTGGACCCAATTTTTGTGAATCACCTGCTCACATGACTTTCGGCTGGGGGCAGTTTCACCCATCAAGGCTTACGTGTCAAAGAACCTCCGATCCGCTTTAATGGATCCAGTTGTTGGAAAAAAATTTAAAAAAGGTTTTTTAATCGGTCCTTTTGAGTCTTCAACTTTCCGTGTGTTTTGTTCTAATCCCTTGGAACTGTAACCAGGAATACTCAGGAAAGAAAAGGTTAATTGTTGATTGATCAGCTCCGCTTGTTGGTCCCATCGAAACGGTCAATGATGTTATTCCCCCTATACCATTTTCCCTTCACTACACCATCAGTGATCATGCCATCAAATTAATTAAACTAGCTGGGCGGGGTGCTGTCCTGTTAAAAGTGAATGTAACTGATGCCTTCAAAGTTGTCCCGGTTCATCCGTTTCAGGGGAACTTCCTCAGCATAAAATGGGATTCAAGTTTTATTTCACAGTTAGACTCCCGTTTGGATGCAGAAATAGCCCATGCATTTTCAACCTTATGTTTGAAGCTCTCCGTTAGATCTTGTCGAATAAAGTGCGTATTCCATGCATGCTTCATTTGCTTGAAGATTTTCTGCCAATCGATCTGCAAGGCAATAGCTCTTGATCTTCGTTAGCCAAGTAAAGATGTTTGTTCAGTTATCACGGTGTCCCGCTAGCAGATGAGAGAACATTCGGGCCCACGACAACCTTGGAGTTGCTCGGTGAAACTCTGGACATGGTCGATATGAAAGCATCTCTCTCTCTCGGCTGACAAATAGCAGCAAATTCACCAAATTGCACACTCCTTCACTTCAGCCAAAAAAAAAAAAACATGAATTAACAGGTCCTCTTTCTCCTAGGTCACCTAAATTTCGCTATGTGTGTCATTCTCCGAGGCAGTTCCTTCATTTCAATGCTGCAGAATTTGGCCTCTTCAGTTTCAAATTTGCACAATCAAGTTGCCTGGGATGAAGGTTGCGTTTCCAACTTAAATTTTGGTCATTATTGCTAAACCAGAGGAATTGCATTTCTTTCTTCCATGATGACATCGTGCACTCCTCCGATTCAATTAAATCTTCCTTGGATACTGCTCCTTCCATGGGTTTTTGGGGTTGAATCACAGCCAGTGGATCATCAGTAACTGGCCAGGCCGGTTTTTTGATTGTAATGCATCCTCTGCACTGTGAGATTTACCCTACTGTTGTCGCTTGTCATGTTTCGGGTCATTTAAGGCTTTTATGAGATAATGAGGCAGTAGTGGGCATAATCAATAAAGGTCGCTCCTCAGCAAACAATATCATGCCATTTATGAGACGCACAACCTGGTTCTCCATTAATGTATCTCCCTGCCTTCCCTTGTGCTGCTGTGTTTCTCTGTTGGCTCAGATTCCTGCCAGTCATCATCACCCCAAGTCCTGCCTCCACCAATCAGAGGGATCCCTTTCCTGTCTGTTCATCCAATCACCTTTCAGCCCTTCATTCTGGACATCCAATCATCTTTCACCCCCTCTATTTTAAATCCGGATCCTGTGACCTGAAGAGATCTGGTTTGTTACCCCATCTTTTGTATCGTGCTGTATTGTGTTCTTTTGAGTTTTGGAGGCAGTTTTTTTTTTTAGTTCCAGTCTATGTCTTGTTTGTGTATGGAGGTTTGTGTTGACCACACTGAGGCCGGGGAAGGGTAAGACAGAGGCCTCTATGCACTTGCATGTAGGAAGAATTCTTGTTAGACACACTAGTTTAGGAGTGATTGCCAACTGCTGTATTTTGGTTTGGGTAGTTAGTGTAGTTAGATAGGCTTTTTTCTTTGCGTACATATGAGAAAGCAGTTAGCTATCTTCCCCTTTTTGGTTTCTAGTAAGCGGTATTTTGGTTTGGTTGATTTCTTTTCTTGGGCAACACTCAGGTCTCCGGACCTTGGATGTGTGTCTTTTTTGTCTATGTTTCCTTTGTGCTGTTAATATTGTATATACCTTTTTGCACCAGTAAACACCATTGCACTCTTTATTCGTTCTGGGGTCTGTGTTTATATTTTGCCCCCTCTTTATATGTGCTTAGTTGTGGCCCGTTTGGGCTTAATCTATCCTCCACCAACCCGGCTAAAGTCAAAGTGCGACCCAAGCTTCCCTAGGTGCCTGGGCTCGTAACATAAGTGGGGTCTCGTCCGGGAGCTTGGTCCAGGGGCATGATTCTCGCTTCAGGTGCGAGAGGTCCCAGGTTCGAGTTCCCGGGTTCAAGTCCCAGACAAGCCCTCATAACCAACATCAGATTTGTCCTTCAGAGTTACCGAAGACCGAGCAGGTCGGGTAACTTTTCTAATGAAGCCTGTAGGCTTCGGTTGATTGGCAGACTTTCTTTTTAATAATAAGCAGTTTCCAATTACATGCCCTTTCTTATGACAGTAAAAGCACTTTCGCTCTTCCTTCGGATGTGGGGGTGACGGGTTAACTGTCTCAATTTGGGTTTCCACAGGCGGGGAAGCAGTACGAGAAACAGGCTGCTTCTCCCGGGACGAAGATGCAAATACACCTTTGTGGGTAAGGGTGAATTCATCTGCGAATATTGCAGCTTTGGTCAGTGAAATAACCTTCAGCTCATTTAAATAAACAACGACTTGCTCAGGAGCACGCTGTTTAAAATTCTCCAACAAAATCAATTCACGGAGTGAATCGTAATCTATGGCTTTACTGGTGGTGCACCATTTGTCAAAGAGGGTTCCCTTTTCTCTCGCAAATTCGACATGACTGAGTCTGGATTTTTTTGTGGTCTCGAAATTTCTGCCGGTAAGCCTCAGGCACCTACTCGTATGCCCGCAAAACAGCGGCTTTTACAATATCATAATCTAAGCTTTCTTCAAGCGATAGCGTAGCACATCCTGTGCTTTTCCTGTGAGCTTGCCATGTAAAAGGGTGGTCCAAATTTCTTTTGGCCAGTGTAAAGCAATTGCTAGCCGCTCAAAAGTGCTAAAGTAGGAGTCAACTTCTGTCTCTCTAAAAGAAGGAAGTGCAACATGTCTCCTTTTATTGTAATCGGGTGACATTAGTGGGGTAGACAGACCTGTGGTGGGTACCTCAGCAGACTTAGTAGCTGCACTCTGCAATTGCTGCAGCATAATCTTTGTTTCTGCCCCTATCTCCAGCTTGTGAATGGACAACTGGAATTCCTGCTCCAGTTTCCAAGCCCTCTCTCGTGCCTCCAACTCATGAGCCTTCTCCTGAGCCTCAAGCTGCAGCCGGGCCAAGCGGACTTTAAGTTGCGCATCAGACTTGGACCCAGAGGAACTCGGTGAAAACCCCTCAAACTGTGGCAAGGTAACTGGGGGAATCTCAGCCTTCACCTCTGTTCCGGGGGAAACCCCTGTACCTAGCGGTGTTTTGGGAACAGCATCTGGCACTTTAGGCACTTCAGGCTGGCTAGGAGGTAGAATGACTGGCAGCATAATGATTTTCTGCTCCACCAACTTGTCCCACACTACAGACTTAATTTCCTTTTTCAGGAGAGATCTAGACAATGAAAGTCGGAGGAAATCTGCAATGGCTAACAAATCTGCTTTCCTACATTGCTCAAAAGCATGTACTGATGGTGCTGCAATAAACTCCTGCACATCAAATGACGCCATTGTCCTCTTGAAAACTTACATCCAACACAAGCACTATGGCCTACACACTACTCACTCATCCATTGTGTTCCAGGGCTAAGTGTTTGCCTTCTATTTCTGATCATAGACGCGGCATTACTCTTGCTATTTTGCGCTGCATGTTATAAGCCTTACTGGATGGTATAATTTCTCCCTATGTAAACAGCCTTCTCAAAAGCATATTCCTATTGGTTTTCTATGGCTTTTTAAGAATCTGCAAATTTACTTCCTCTTCATCTGAGTTTAATCCAGCTAGAGACATTACATATTCAGATTTTTCCTTCCATCCAGGTTATTTTAGTTTATTCCTAAACATTCTAAGGTGTGGGAAGCTTCCTCTGTGATTATCACTCGTATTAGTTCCCCTTTTTGTCCATTACTTGGCCATGATAAAATTTCTTCATCAAAGAACCAGTTAATGTCTCCTCTTTTCGTAACCCATGATGGCTTTCCCATATAAAAATCCTGGTTTAATCATCATTAAGAGAAAGTTCTCAAAAAATGCAAGCTTTCCCCTCAGTACTATTCAGGGCACTCATTTAGAATGGGTGGAGCTTACTTCTGCATCGCGAGGAATCTCTACAGCTTCCCTTCATCAACTCGAGCACTGCTCATCATCTGCTTATTCATACTTCATACGGCCAGATGCTGCCTCAATCCTAGCTGCTCAAAGAACTCTAAAACCCTGATTATCAAGAAAGTCATGCACATAACTGGTGGTGATTTTATTTGCATTTACTTGCTCTTTTGTTACTTAATCATGTTTGGTTGTTTGTTTCACAGCGTTGCAAGTGTATTTTCTCATGCTTGTAATTGTCATTCCTCTGTATGGTTTTGGCCTTTACCCTGTATCTCAATGGTTTCATCCTACAGCATAATTGGCAATTTCCCCTGCACTGCACTTGGCAATTTTGTGAAGTCCCTGGCCCCAGGTCAGTCACTTGCCCTGCAAAGAAAACTGTTCATTGCCCCTTCATTGGAAATTGCAACTGTTCCTTTACCCGGCATTTCACTGCGTTGCAAACTGGTCATTTTCCCTGAATTGCAAACTGGTCATTTTCCCTGCATTTCCCTGCATTGCAAACTGGTCATTTTCCCAGCATTTCCCTGCATTACAAACTGGTCATTTACCATGCATTACAAAGTGGTCATTGCCCCACATTTCCCTGCATTGCAAACTGGTCATTTTCCTGCATTTCCCTGCGTTGCAAACCGGTCATTTTCTTGCATAGCAAACTGGTCATTTTCCTGGCATTTCCCTGCATTGCATACTGGCTATTTTCCTTGCATTTCCATGCATTGGTCATTTTCCCTACATTTCCTTGCAATGCAAACTGGCCATTGCCCCACATTTCCCTGCATCGTAAATCTGTCATTGCCCCTGCATCGCAAACCAACCATTGCTCTGCATTGAAAGCTGGTCATTTCCCCTGCATTTGCTAATTGGTAATTTTTCATGAGTCCTGATTATCACTTTTGCACATCTTTGGTTTTTACATACCACCTCTGCAGCTTTCAGGTGACTTCTGACTGCGGATTCGGATACTTGGGGAGCTTGTCAATATACTGAACACATTCAGGCGTTCAAAAATGAATGTGTCTCTGTTCGTGTTCAGCTAAAGAACAAACAGCAGTGCGTTCAAAAATGAATGAGCATGCGTTCATTTTGCGTTCAGAAATGAACGAGTATGCATTCGTTTTTGACCGGACGGCATCCAAAAACGAACGCAGCTACCCTCTCTCGCATTACAAAATGAATCTGTTCTCCACTTCGCAAAATTTACACCAACATGCGTAAATATTTCCTTCTTACGAGAAAAAAATTCCCTGTCTCCCATCCTGCAGAATTTAGAAGTATATTGTAAGGTATATGCCTATTAAATGACAGCTTTCACGTCGGCTAAAAAATCCTACCAAATCTCCAGTTTCGAGATTATATCTTTACCAATCGTCAATCTACCGCTATACACTTACACTTTTCATCGAGTTTGATAAGATGCTTTAACACATTCCACTCAAGACCAGAGATAAATTGTGATTCACTGGTACCGGGGTACGTTCAGTCAGCCAAAACATTCAAATTTTGCTGTGTGAATACTTTACTGGAATGAACATTGCTTGCGTGTGGTATCAGTATGCCACTTTTTCCTTCTTATATAGAAAAGCATTTTAGAATTCCAAATCATGATGTGACCGCTAGGGAATTTGTATGTGAAAGATTGTAGTTTTTTTTCATTTGCAAGATGCAGTGCTGATAGTTTACGCATTGTATCACATCATCTGCGCGACAGCCCAAGTTTAATTCTACTATTCTATGAGTATAAGAACTAGGATAACTTAGTCCTGCTCCTATCAAATTGCAAAATTATCCGCGATATTAATCCTTTCTTTTTTTAAACCTTTGAACGCGCAAGCAAAAAAATGCCACACTTAACAGCCCACTACGTACACGATGAGTTCTGCAATGATATTCAGATTTTGTTCCATTGATTGTCACAGATTTTGTACCATTTGTCATATTATATATTTTTGTAATTTATTTTACAGTATTTTTTTCAGATTGAAGTCACAACACATGAAACCGCCGCTCTGTGGGAGCTGCCGACGACAAGTCCAGATCTAGACAAGCAGATGAGCGAAGTAAAACCTCTGCATGTGCACAGTATTATAAAATCAGCATGTCTGAATGTTAATAAATATTTATCCCCCCCCCCCACTTCCCCCTTTTTGAATATAACCCTTATTATAAGGGTGTTATCAGTTCAATTAATGAATAAGCTTGATTGCAAGATAAACAACTAAGTACACTCTAAGAAAAAAAGGTTCATGAAGGGCGTTCGTTGGCACCGAAAAGGTTCACACTTAGGATTGGTTCCCTTCAGAACCTGTAGATGGAGCTGAAACCTATAGGGTGCCCATCCGCACCCTTGAATAGTCTCTCACGCAACCGCACTAACGATCATTAGCTTAATTAACACTTCGGACCTATTTTGCGTTGAACTTCTTGTATGGCATATTTTTTTATCGTACAAAGTTAGTAGAATGCCACGCTGCCGCATTTTTAAACTTACTTATTCTTATAAAATAAACTGGGACACAAAAATTACAACTGATACAATTAACAACTTTTCGATTAGACTACTCCTTGAAAAATACAACAACCAATGGCAGCGCGACACTTGAACGAGCGAGGACAATCGACGTGGACAATAACCGGCATTCGTCGCATTCAAGCTGGCTTTGTTCATCAAGCTATATATGCTAGCTCACTTTGTTACGTGGCTGCCAACATCTCGCAACGAGAAGATCGTTTAAGGACTAAAATGGATTTGTTTTGCCATTTCTTCTCCTCATATCATTTATGCAGCTGCTTTGATATCTGGTTTATACACAATTGCATTTACTTTATATGAAATTCAAATGTCTTATTTTCAATTTATTCCCAGTGTCAGTATGGAGATGCCAACAAAGGTTGAATGCACATGACAAAAAAAGTCTTCATACATGCAAAACTGGGCAGCAATGTGATTGTCATTGACATGCAATTGTTTGCCCCTTACAAGTGTAAATACAATGAGTAAAGACACGCGCCTCCTGCC